TTAATTTTTATAAATAATTAGTTATTTAATGGATGAGATATTTATAAAAACCAATTGTATTGAATTTAAATAAAAAAAWGTTCAAAAAATTAAAGATATTGTTCCATTTTGAATTATTAAGTTCTTTAACTTTTTTGATTGAATAAGTTGTTGAACTCTTTTTATGTTAAATGATTAAATTGTTGTATTTTTTTTAAAATAACTAATTGATTGAGCTTTTTTGAAAATTGATTACTTAAATTATTTTAACTTTTTTAAAATTTGTATAATTTAAAAGTTATTTTTATAAAATGACTTGAAAAATGTGATCACTTTTACAAAAAATAGTATTTCAAATTTCTTGAGTTATTTCAATGTTCTTAAAATGGTTTAATTAAAAGATTGTGAATAAAATAATATAAAAAAATTAATATCGTACAATTCACAGACAAAAAGTAGTATTTCAAATTTCTTGAGTTATTTTAATATTCTTAAAATGGTGTAAATAAAAGATTGTGAATAAAATAATATAAAAAAATTAATATCGTGCAATTCACAGAGTTATAGTTATTTATAAAAAAAATTCATCCTTACATATATTATTTCATTAATAAATCATCGAACTTTTAAAAATTGTTGCTTGGATCATTTCAACCCAAAAAAATGCTACATATCATGGTTTGATTGTCTCACAAATCAAATAAGTGGAAAAACAATTTTTAAGTCACTGTTTTCCCGACTTTTAATCTATCCAGATAGTTGTTAAATAAATCTTTTTTTAATATATAATGATCTAATAATATTATTATATTAAATTTAATATGTAGTTTGATAATAAAAAAAGTTTGTTTTTTAATAAATGATCATTAAAAAAATTACGTTTTTAAAAATCGTTATTAAAAAAAAGGAAAAAAATATATTTTTTCTTAAACATAATTATTAGAAAAAGGTATTGTTCTTTAAGAGGCAAAAAAACTAAAAAGGAAAAGAAAACATGTAATATTTTTTTATAGAAATTATAATTAAAAAATAATATTTTTTAGTATTAATTTTTTATAGAATAATAAATAATATTTGTAGTAATAATATTATTATAATTAATTAAAATAACTAAAAAAAATTAGTATAGAAAAGAAAAGGACAACAAAAGGACAAAAATGCAAAAAAAAACAAACAAAAAGAAATGATGAAATAGGAGATAGGGGTGCTCTTAGCAAATTATAGGGGTGTTGTTAGCCTTCCCATAAAAACTTAAAAGTAATTGAGCTTTAAAGACAGGTACCTTGTGTTATAGAATTTGTATTTTTTTTTAAAACTTTTAAGAATTTTGCTAAATCTGCTTAATAAGATAATATATATATATATATATATATAGAGAGAGAGAGAGAGTGTGTGTGTGTGTGTGTGTGTGTGTATGTGTTGGTCCCAACCGGATCTACAAGAGTAATAGGTAATCAGTTTGTAGAAGGGGATGAATACAAATACAGAAACTTTCACTTTTAAAAATTATATATTAATAAAAAAGGATCAATACAAATTTTACAGACTGTTTGCGGAAAAGATAAGGTATAGAAACCTATATACACAATCTAGGATACACACTATTACACTTAGCAAAGAAAAAAGATTTGCTATAAGAAATAAAGACTTAGAAAAGTGTTATTCACTTGTTCAAAGAGAATCTTTCTTTTTAGAAAGAGAGTAGTGAGAGAAGTAAGTTCTTGAATAAGTTTCTTAGAGAGGAAGAGTGATGACTGAGTAGAGAACACTTAGCTATTTATATCATTGCATTAAATGCAATTCAGAAGGTACAAAACACGTGTCAAGCTTTTGGAGGAAAACTTGTCATTTGTTACAGTGAACAGTCCTATCGTTGTTCAATGAGCAGTCATCTTTTAATAAAGTAGGTAAGCATTATAGAGTCAATTGAGTGGCTCCGTATTGTACTATACTCTTGGAAAATGTATGGGTTTGTCCTTAATGTGTGGGAGGACAAGACAAAAACAATCGTGCATGGTAAGCTTCATTTGATTGTTGAATACTGAGATGACGTTAGAGGTCTCTTCAGTATTCACTGAAACTTGTGCAATCTTCACACATATGTAGACGAGCTTGTAATCACTGAATGTCGCTTCAGATCATGAACGCGCTAGTTTCTAATATTCAAATTTTGTCTTCGACGCTGCTGAAAGTTCTTTGGTGTGAGTTTTGTCTTCTTGAAGTAACAGTTTCTGAATGAGTTACAATACGTGTTCAGCAATCACTGGACAGACTTAGTGATGATCACTGAAACTGAATAAACAGAAACACTATATTTCAATAGGTAAAATAGATTATCATCAAATCAATGAGAGAGGATCAACAAAAAGAGATATTTGTTTAGGAATAAAGTTTTAAATTAAATAAAATGAGTAATAATAACGACGGGGGTGTGGATAATTTATGCATTGTTTGTCTGATTGATGATGATGTTTTTTTTTCTTTTTAAAAGGAGGATGATACATCTGCCGATTTTTATTAAGAAATAAATAAGTGTACGTCTAAATCGCACGGTAATTAATTATATGCATAAAAATGTGGTAAATAGAAATTTAGTCTATAAATAATATGAAAAGATATTAATCGATCATTAATACATATAAATTCTTATAAAGAATAATTCATTGTCATAAGACGAATGATGTCTACAAATAACAAAAACAAATACTCCATCCATCCCAAAATAAGTATTCCCATTTCTATTTTAGTTTCTCCAAAGTAAATGTCCACTTCAAAAAATAATGTCTACTTTTCAACTCTACTATTAATTATGAGTTAGAGAATTCATTAATCTCTTAATAAATGATATAATTGTTATTTAGTTAATTAAAAAGTGTAATGATTACATATTTATAAATTTGTGGATATGTATTTTGGGACATAAACATGTATTAGTACAAATTTCCAAGCAATCGGCCTTCATCAAAGGTCATTGTATTCTGGATGGCCCGTTGATTGTTAATGAATTAGCTTCCTGGGCGAAGAAGTCGAAACGGAAAGTTAAGATTTTTAAAGCTGATTTTGAAAAAGCATTTGATAACCTGAACTGGGGTTTTTTAGATGATGTTATGAACCAGATGGGGTTTGGTCTTACTTGGAGGAAGTGGATTCGTGGGTTACTCTCAAATGCGAGTGTCTCTATTCTGGTTAATGGTAGTCCATCGGAGGAATTCTTAATGGAAAAGGGGGTGAGGCAAGGCGACCCACTTGCCCCTTTTCTCTTCATTATTGCTATGGAGGCGCTCCGTGTTGCTATGTTAGAAGCCCATATTAAAGGCCTATTCTCCGGCATTTCTCTTCCCCATGGTGGCCCAGTCTTAGAGCTTCTCCAATTCGCCGACGATGTTGTCTTTCTGGGGGATTGGTCTTTGTCTAATGGGACTAATCTTATTCATCTGTTAAGGTGTTTTTACTTATCTTATGGCTTAAAAATTAATCTTCATAAAAGTTGCCTGTATGGTATTGGGACTACGGTAGGGGAGTCCGGTTTCCTTGCTCGGAGAATGTTTTGTAAGTCTGCGTCGTTACGTTTCTTATATTTGGGCCTCCCGGTGGGTGCTCAAATGAGTAGGCGTTGTAATTGGTCTAAGTTGATTTCTAAGTTTCATGAGAAGCTTTCTTCTTGGAAGGCTAAGGCTCTTTCCTTCGGTGGTCGGAAGATCCTCTGCAAGTCGGTTCTAGGTAGTTTGGGAGTTTATTTGCTTTCTCTCTTTAAGGCTCCCGATTGTGTGATTAACTCTCTTGAGAGCATCAAGAACAACTTCTTATGGGGTGGAGGTACAAATGGTAGGAAGATTACTTGGATTAGATGGAGTGTTACTTGTAACTCGATGGATAAGGGTGGTATCGGTATAGGCAGTCTAAAGACGCTTAACTGGAGTCTTATTGGGAAATGGTGGTCGAGATTCCTCACTGACGAGGATAGTTTATGGAAAAACTGCATCAAGTCTTTCCATGGCGTGGATGGCGGTTTATTTCGTGATGGTAGTAGGAAGTCGGGGGTATGGGGTGCGATCACAAAGTGGAACTCTCTTTTGAGTAAAGTGGGTCTTCATTTTACCAACTTCTGGTCATTGGATTCAAGTGGCAACCGTGTTTGGTCTCTCTTTGACGATGGTGTATTCAAGGTTAAGACGTATAGGGAAAAAATTGAGGAGCGGGTTCTTCAATCGGATCACAGGTGTACATTGTGGAACAAATCAGTTCCAGGTAAAGTTAATATGCTTTTTTGGCGCTTACCCAAATCTAGACTGCCCACTAGAT